GGGACACGGGCCTCTTGGCATTAAAAAGGAGCTCAAGTGGCAAGTGCAAATCACGTTACGCTGACAAAAGTTAAGGCTTGTTTAAAATACACGTCTCTGGGAATCTTGTCTTGCAGAACCAAATAAACTAATTTGAGGAATAGGCCCAGTCTGTGTTAAACATAAAGAGGATGGGAGAAGTAATTAAAGAGGAGGGGCAGGATTTATCTCAGTGCCTGAAGCCTTGGGGCCTTGGTTTGACACATACTGAGAGCCTCTGATGTTTGTACTGAGATGCCTTCAGAAGGTGTCTGCTCCACACAATGCAATGGGGAAATTAGATTAGCGGACATCCTAGGACTGCGATTCTGATATAGGGCTGACCTAGATGGTCCATGAGTGAGGGCGAGAAAAAGGAGTCGCTTCTGGGAGGAAGCAGGCCTGAGGGTGCCCAGCCTGGCAGGCCTGGGGTGGCTGATTTCTTTGTTTTCCTTGCTCCATTGGCCAGGGGCCTTCATGAAACCTACACACCTATGCCTTGCAGTCCTGTTTGCAGGGACCTTGTCATTGAGGTTGGGGCCTTTGAGTTTGACACCCCCTCCTTCAGGAGGGTCATCTGAAGTTGACCTGGGAGCCAAACAGACCTGTGTTTGAATCCTAGCCTTGTCGATTGCTGGCTTTATTTTCTCATTGGAAAATTGGGAGTGGTCAGTACCTACCTCACCAGGTTGCTGTGAGAATAAGCCCAGTGCCTGTCACTCAGCAGGTGCTTGGCAAAAGATAGTGTTAGAAGGATGTCCCTGCCTTAGAAGGAGCTCACAGGTGAGCTGTTTTAAAAGTATAGGTTTTATTATTTTTCAAGTACAGGGAGGACAACAGATTAGGAAACGATTGCCATTAAAAACATGGTTTATTACTCACAGGTCCCAAGAGGAGGGGGCACAACGCTCCACACAGGGCCACGCTGGGGAACACCAGGATCTATCTGTCAGGCTGAAGGAGTGAGGCGGGGTGGAGGGGAGCCTTGGTTGTGGTTTCCATGGGAAGGAACAGGCACAACAGAGTAAGTAGCCTTAGGATTAGCTAGTTTGAATAATTTCAGTGGACTCTGGGGGGTAGGGGCTGTCTGGAGTTGTCAGGTACCTGGCCCCTGGGTGATTATGGCCTGGAGTATAAGAGCACTGTGAGATCCCAAGGAAGGGTGTGCCTGGGGGATGTGGGCTTTGGATGGGTTGTTTTGTTGTGAAAGACTCCCATGGAAGGGAGTAGTTTGCTGTTTCTAGGAATTCACTAGCCCTGAAAGGGACAGTCTCTCCCCAGTTAGTAAGGCCCCAGATGTCAGAGAATTAAGAATACAGAAAATAGGCTGGATGTGGTGGCTCACGCCCGTAATCCCAGCACTTTGGGAGGCTGAGGTGGGCAGATCACCTGAGGTCTGGAGTTTGAGACCAGACTGACCAACATGGTGAAACCCCGTCTTACTGAAAATACAAAATTAGTTGGGTATGGTGGCAGGCGCCTGTAATCCCAGCTACTCAGGAGGCTGAGGCGGGAGAATTGCTTGAACCTGGGAGGCAGAGGTTTTAGTGAGCCAAGATTGCGCCATTGCATTCCAGCCTGGGCAACGAGAGTGAAACTCTGTCTCAAAAAAAAAAAAAAAAAAAAAAAAAGCAGAAAATAAAAAATATATAGTTATTGCACAAGTGAAGAAAGCAGATGAGTAGCTCAGTAATTCCTGAGCCCCATGGTGAGGGTTCCATTCCAGTGATGGACACGGAGAACTGAGGAAGCAGAAGGCTCCTGAGAGGCTGTGAACTGACTTGGGGCCAGGAGGGTGATGCTGGAGGGGCTTTCCCAGCAGATCAGCCACAAGTATGAAGCCCAGTACTGCGAGCAGATCTGGCCTGATGGACGACAATTGTGTATGACTGACGTTTTGGGACCAGGGGAGGTGTGGCATGGTAGACAGGACATGTCTGCAAAGGTCGTTTAGGGTCTATTCATCAAAGGCCTTGGATGCTGCTCTGACAAGGAGTCTGGAATTGATCCCAAAGGAAAGTGTGTGTGTGTGTGTGTGTGTGTGTGTGTGTGTGTGTGCATACGTGTGTGATTGTGAGTGTGCTGCAGTGGGAATTGCCCTGGCCCAAGCTCTGCTGTCAGCAAATTCATTTGACAGTGGGTGTGGGTCTACACTGTGCTTCTCAACCCTGATGGCACATTTGACTCACTTTTGGGCATCTGAGGAGCTCTGTAGGAATACTGATGCCTGAGCCCACTCCCCATACCGGTGACATCAGAATCTCTAGAGGTAGAGCCTGGTAACTGACAGGGCTTTAAAAGTTCCCTAGATGTGGTGGTTTAAGAGTGACTTTAAACTGCAGGTTGCACCCCATGAATGGGTTATGAAATCACTCTACTCTGTTGGGGCCAGCATTTTTATAACAAATAAAGCATATTAGAATACTAAATAACCAGAATGCCTCAAGTGCCGTCAGGTGAAACTTTTGCTCAGTTATGCATATATACATCTGTATGCACAGATGTGTGTACTGCGTGGTGGTATGGAATGTATTTCATGCCTGTGACAGGTGGCCTTGGTCAAATGTTTGAAAGCTCCTGGCCTAGGAGGGAGAAGGTGGAGTCATTCCTGCTCAGTGCCCAAGGCTATGGGCCTTGCTCAGAGAGTCTATGCTCTTGTATAGCTCCCCTACCAGAGGGCAGGGGCTGTGCTTTGGTTCTCTCCATGCTCCTCTACCTCAGCCTGGCACAGCCATGTGGCTGGATAGGAGCAGTAGAAGCCAAGAGGTGGCAGTGATTGGTGGTCAGCCAGAGATAGCCCATCTTCCGCCCCCCTACCCCCGCCGCCAGTTCTGTCTGTAAGAAACCATGGACCCAAGGACTGAGCATTCCAAGAGATGTTCTTGAGAAGCACACCAGGGCCTGAGACTGGCAACATCACCAGGGCATCATTTGGAGACACCTCTTGTGTGCCAGGCAAGATCTTAAGTGTCAGGTACTGAGCCAGGCATGGTAAACCTATTTCCTATGGCTGCACAACAAGTCACTACAAATTGAGTGGCTTAAGAAAGCACAGAGTTATTCTCTTGCTGTTCTAGAGGCCAGAAGTCCAAAATCGGTCTTATTTGTCTAAAATCAAAGTGTTGGCAAAACCATATTCTTTTTGGAGGCTCTTTGGAAGAACCTGTTTCTTCGCCTTTCTGGCTTCTGGAGGTTGGCTGTCTTCCTTGGCTTGTGGCCCCTTCCTTCATCTTCAAAGCCAGCAGTGTTGCATCTTCAAAGCTCCCTCTTTGACTCTTGCCCTTTCTCCTCCCTCTTGTAAGGATCCTTGTGATTACCATAACCCAGACAATCCAGGGTTGTCTTCCAATCCCGAGATCCTTAACTACATCCCACCTGCAAGGTGCTTTTTGCCATGGAAGTAACATATCCCCAAATTCCTGGATACGGGATTTAGATGTAGGCGTCTTTGGGGAACCATTATTTTGCCTACCACAATACTCTCTGTTTCCATTTTTTTTGTTTGCAATGTTTATGTCTCCATTGGGCTGCAGGCTTCTTGAGGATGAGAATTTTGTAAGGTGTGTATCCTTGTCACGTAGCACGTTGCTTAACACTGCAGCTGCTGGCAAACATTGGCTACTGAGCAAATATATCTTGACCTCTTCATCTGTGGGTAAGATCACAGGTGTCTAGAAGTGTGAATGGCTTGGTCAAGGTTTTATAGATCTAGTGGCAGAGCTGGATTCAGAACCCAGGTCATCTGAGTCTTTCAATTTTTATGCCTAAACAGATGGTGGCCCAAACTCCACCAGTGAACAACGTATCCTATTCTATCCCTCTGGGCTGACATTGACATTTCTCCAAACCCTGCTGGCTGTGATTGTTTAGAAGGATATGGCTTATCCATGTAGAGTACAAGGAAGAGTTCAAGCTATGGAACCCATAAGACCTAGGTTTAAATCCTGGTTTTGATATGGGAGGTGGACAGACAGGTGCTGGGTAGAGAAGGGTGGGGTCCCTGGGGAGGGCTCCACCCTCAGGCCTGTGCTCATAGACTTAAGTGAGAACAGGCACTCCTGTTTTTGCACCCAAATGTTGCGTTTTCCAAGACCACCGTGGCCTGCCATGTGCCCCATCCTGTGCCCATATAAACCGGAGACCTCAGCAGGCACAGACACAAGCAGAGAATGTTGAGCAGGTACAGGTGCCAGCTGACCAGCAGACCAGTGACAGTGGAATGATGTGGCAGAAAAAGAGTGAAGAGAGGAGACATCTGGACACCAAAGTTCAGCCCAGGGGTTGGGGGTGGTGGGGCAGTAGAACAGTCCAGCTGCTGGGTGACTCGACTCCAGGGGAAGACCATCTTCCCACTCCATTCCCCGCTTCTGACTCCCCATCTGAGAGCCACCTCCACCACTCAATAAAACCTTGCACTCATTCTTTGAGTCCACATATGATCCAGTTTTTCTGGTACACTGGGCAAGAGCTCGGGGTACAGAAAGCTGTCACACTGGCCCTCTGCCCTTGCGATAAGGCAGAGAGTCTGTTGAGCTAATTAACACAAGCTGTCTGCAGACAGCAAAGCTGAAAGAGCAGACTGTAACACATACCCACCTGGGCTTTGGGAGTCACAGACACTCACCCCTAGATACTGCTGTGAGGCTGGATCCCAAAAGCACTCCCACAGCCTCTGCACCTGCCTGTCTGCATGCTTCTTCTAGGGGGGTGAGCACTGGGGCAACTGAAGAAGCGAGCCACACCCATTGCACATAGTGTGAGGGGGATAAGGGAACTCTCCCGTTTCAGTTTCACATTGTAACAGTTAGATATTGCTGTGTAACAAGCCACCAGTAGAAGTCAGGGTTCTCCAGAGAAACAGAACCAATAGGATATCAATAGCACACATATATATTCCTATAATAAGCCAATTCCTATACTATTTATATCTTCTCATATTTATTTATCTATCTATTATTTATTTATATATTTATTTATTATAGAAATTGGCTCACAACGTGATTATGGTGGCTGAGGTCTCACAATAGCCATCAGCAAGCTGGAGCAGCAGGAAAACCAGTGGTATAATTCAATCCTACTCTAACAGCCTGAGACCCAGGGAGCCTCTGGTGTAAGCCCTGAAGGCTGAAGGCTCAGGAACCAGGAGCTCTCGTGTCTGAAGGTAGGAGAAAATAGATGTCCAGCTCAAGAAGAGAGTGAATTTGCCTTTCTTTGCCTTTTTAAAATTCTATTTGGGCCATAAACAGATTGAATGATGTTCACCCACCTTGATGAGGTTGATCTTTGCTCAGTGTACTGATTCAAAAGCTAATTGCTTCTGAAAACGCCCTCACAGACACACCCGTAATAGTGTTTAAGCAGATATCTGGGCATCCCTTAGCCAGTCAAGTTGACACATTAAATTAACTGTCACATTACATCAAAACCTAGTGGTTTAAACAGCAATTTATAATTTTTCATTAGTCTGTGCACTGGCTGGAGAGTTCTGTTGATCTGTGACAGACATGGCTGATCTTGGCTGGGCTTGCCCATGTGTCTGTGGTCACCTAGTAGGTCAGCTAGGGGCTGAGTGGTCTAGAATGACTGAAGCTGAGACAGATCAGCTTTGTTCCGTGTAGTCTCTTATTGTCCAGTAGGTAAGTCTGGGTTTGTTCTTGTGGCAGTGGCAGGGTTCTGAGTGACAGTGGAAGTGCACAAGCCCAGAACTGGCACATCATCACTGTTGCTGCATCCTATTGACCAAAGCAGGTCAGAGACTGGATTCATAGGTATGGAGATCTCTCCATATCTTTACGGGAATGTCTGTGAAGTCATCTTGCTAAGGGCATAAATACAGGGAGAGAGATGGGGAGATTGGGGCCAATTTAATATTTAATCTACCATGCTCCATGACTGGCCAAATTTCTTAATTCCTCTAATCTTTAGTATCTTCATCTGAGAAATGGGAAATAACAATATCTATTTCATTGTGGTGAGTATTAAATAGGATGAAACATATAGGACACTTGATAATGCCTCCTGTGGTGTTTGGTAATGACAGCAGTTGCAGTGCTCAGTGAAGACAGCAGTTAGTATGATTACGTTACTGTTATTATTGTTGTTGCAATAATAACTGGTTATTATCATAATGATTACAAAGACTGGCAGAAAACTGTGGTTCTGATAAGGGATAGCAAATGCTTCCATGGTAAACCTGACTTTGATGGTGTAGGGACAAAGAGGGGGAATAAGGGCAAAAAAGATTGAGTGGTTTGGCTCTGTGTCCCCACCCAAATCTCATGTTGAATTGTGATCTTTGGTGTTGGAGGAGGGAGGCTGGTGGGAAGTGGTTGAATCATGGGGGCAGACTTCTCCCTTGCTGTTCTTGTGATGGTGAATGAGTTTTCATGAAATCTAGTTGTTTGAAAATATGTAGCACTTCCCCTTTCCTCTTTCTGTCACTCCCGCCACCACGTGAAGACGTGCTTGCTTCTTATGCCCTTACACCATGATTGTAAGTTTCCTGAGTCCCCAGCCACACCTTCTATACAGGCTGTGGAACTGTGAGGCAATTAAACCTCTTTTCTTTGTAAATTACCCAGTCTCAGGCAGTTATTTATAGCAGTGTGAGAATGGGATGATACAAAGGTGTGATATCTTTCTTTACCCATCATAAGGGTCATAGCCAGTGCTCCTTTATAACAGAGGACAGATTAGCAAGAGAAGAACATAATAGATTTCTTTAATCAAAGTTTTAGGTGACACAGTATCCTTCAAAAATGAAGAGCCAAAGACTCAGGCAAAACTGTCCATTTTAATGCTTAGATTAGATGAAGAATGGACAGCCATGTAGAGAGGCAATTAGACAAAAGGGAATGACCTCATGGTAGTAGACTGATGGCAGGGGGACCAACAAAGCCTGTCTGTTCAGACTCTTCTTGGCCTTTCTCTACATTCCTCCCACTCAGGTATAGGGCAGAACCCCTCTGGAATGAGGGTCTTATTACCTATTCTCAGACAAGGTGGATCAGAGAATTTCTTTATGGTTGGGCTCCTACACAGAAAGGCAGGAGAAGGTTAAGGTAATACATCTGGGTTTTATGGCTTGCTCTGGGGCAGAGGGGCTCTACTTTCTTGAAACCACCTTTGGGAAGAAGAATTTTGGTCTCTATTACTTGCTTCATGGGAGAAGAGAGGTAACAGGGGTAAGAGAGTGGAGAGGAGGGGAAGAGCAGGGAAAACTTGCTTCTGAGGCCTTCCAATCTCCTTTAGTTTAAAGCACTTGGCATGCCAAAGCACCACAGTTTAGGGTGTCAGTTTTTGAGCCCTAACATCGGGAAAGGGAAGAGGTCAGAGCATGGCAGTTTTTCAGGTTATTGAGCGCTCATTACCATTTTCTTCCATTTTATAAGCAGATGATTATCACTCAAGATAAATATGAAAACAGCACTTAAGGAGAGTGTGGGACTTGAATTCAGAGGACCTGGATCCAAATACTAGTTCTTCATTCTATTAGCTGTGAGGATTTGGACAAATTCCTTTACCTCTCTGAGTCGTGATTTTTAATCTGTAAAATGGAGATAATGGTACCTACTTCACAACTCTGTTCCACAAGCTGAATCAATGGATATAGGTTAAAAAAAGCTTTGTAAGCAGTAAAGCACTAGGCAAATATTAGTTACTATAATCGGTTCTTTCCTTTTGCCATTTGCATCTGTGACCTCAAAAGTACATCTCAGGATGATGGAACTTTAAAAAAATGATGAAGTTTCTTGGCTCTCCCGTATCTGTTAGCAAGAAACTTCTTTTAACTTGTGTGATTTTCCAGCAGTTATCCAAGCTTAAAAGTTTCATAAAAAAGGACAAATTCCCAATGTTCAACCTTCTAAAATAAAAAGGAATGACTCACAGGTCATTAGCATCCCTGGAACATAGTGGCTTCTGTTTTATTGCTATTAAGTAGGATTTAGCTCTATTTTATTAAGGCAATTTTTACAATCATGTGAGAGGTTAATGCATTTCGCACATAATCCATGCCTAGCTCACTAAATGCTGAACCCATTAAAGCCAAGCCATACAGGGGAAGATTTCAAGACAGAGTGACATATTATGGGTGGTATGGAATGAATGACCAAAAAGTATCTGAGGGCTTTTTTTTTTTTTTGCCTTTTTAAAATTTAAAATTTGTTCTCCAGCAGGAAAATAATAGGGCCATCCTGGCAAAAATACTTATTTAGGAGCATATTGCTACAGCGGGGAGGCTCGGCTGGGGATCCATGAACCGATGCATAGACTGTTAACGCTGGGGCCACTTAGAGAGAACCTTTTCAAAAAGCCCCAACCCCCTTGCCAGTAAGGTTTACTTGTGTTATTTCTCTACATCCTAGCACCTGAGAGATGGTATCTGCCAAGAAAACTGCGTTTATTAAGCAATAATGGATTTCTTCCTCCTAATACTCTCCTCAGCAAAGACATAGGTGATTGGAGTTTTGGGTAGATAGGTCACTATGACCACATGGACCTGAAAGCTGGAGAAGAATGAGGCAGAGGCCAGATACGAAAGCCTTTGTGATTTTGTTTTAAAGAGAGTTTCCGTTTTATTCTTTAGAACACAGGAAGCAGGGCAGGAGTCGTTTTTTTCTTTGTTTTTAAAATCACCTTTAGTGAGGTACGTGACACACAGTAAAATGCACCCATGCCTCCATTTTAAGTATACAGTTTGATAAAGTCTAGCAGATGTATTCACTTGTGCAAATACTGCCACAATCAAGATATGGAACACACTTGTCATTCCCCCAGGTTTCCCTCTTGTCCGTTTATGTTTCCTCTCTACTCCCTCCCATGCCTGACCTACGCAGCCGCTGCTCTGACTTGTCACCATGCAAACTGGTTTAGTTTATTTTAGAAGTTAGCATAATGTTTTCAGTCGCCTTGTCGGTACTTCATTCCTTTTCATTACTGAGTAGTAGTCCATTGTATGGATTTCCAGAACTTGATTCTCTGTTTGCCTATTGATGCACGTTTGGGTGCATGTGGGTTGTTTTCTAGTTTCTATCTTCACAAATAAAGCTGTTATGAATATTCATGTATAACTCTTTGTGTGGATGTATTCTCATTTCCCTTGGGTAAATATCTAGGAGCGGAATTGCTGGGTCATATGATAAGCATATGTTGAAGTTCTACCAATCTCTTTTTTTCTGAAGTAGTAACATTTTTGAGCTCCTACCAGCAACGCATGAGAATTCCGGGAGCTCCACATCCTTTTAATTTTAGCCATTCTGGTGGGTTTGCAGTGTCATCTCATTATCTTTTAATCTGCCTTTCCCTAATGACTAATGATATTGACACTTTTTCATGTGCTATTGAGGGCAGGATTTTAAAGAGGACTCTTAGGGTCAAATTTGTGTTTAGGCTTTTGAACCAAGATACCAACTAAATTCTCCAATGTGATTTCTTTTCATCATTCCTGCTAAAGTGATAAAACCAAGGAACAGGGAAATTCTAAGTAGGTGCTGAAAACGACAAAGAGATCTTATCCACCTATCTGAAATCTCTGCAGGTTTTGGCATTAAACAAAGGAAGAGGAGGGTGTGAGTACAGATGGAGGCAAGGGCTGACTGCTCTCTACTGTCCATTGAGTGAAGCAATTCCCACTCTGCCCCCAGGCCCCTAATTCTTCTTGGACCAGAGTGGCACAGATGGAAACAGATAAAGGAAAAGTTCTATGTCAGAGATTTCAAGTTGTGTCCTAACATCCATTCTCTTCTTCTTTCATACCAATAAAACTTTTAGCTGATGAAGTGGCTACCTAGAATAGAGAATACTGTCTAGCCTCCATGGCAGCTAGGTATGGTCATAGGATTGAGTTCTAATCAATAGAATGTAAGCAGAAATGGGGAGGGTCATTTCCAGAAAATGGTTCTTAAAGGGAGGATGTTTGATCTTTCCCCATCTTCCTACTGCTGACTGAAATGTAGACTTGATGGCTGGAGCTGCAGCATCCATTTTGAACCTGAAGGCCAAGACCATATGCTGGGAAAGGTGGAGCAATAAGATTGAATGAGCCAGAGCCTCTGACACTGTGAAACACCCTGTCAAACTGAGATTGACAACCTCTCGATTTCTTTTGCCTGAAAGAGAAATAAAGTTATATCTTATTTAAAGCACTGTTGAGATTTGCTGTCGCTTGTAGCTGAAACTAATTCTAATCCATAAGCTCTAACTGCTGGCTCCCCTCAGTCAGTAGTAGAGGAAGGTACAGTGACTTACTAATCACCAATAGATTATCCAAAGTGAACCATCTCTAAACCTCATCAACAAGTAAAGCAAATGGTGAAAAGCTGCTGGCACTATGAAAAGACTTAGCAATTTAAACAGAAGGACTGAGGAACCAATATAAATACACAGCACAAACTATATCCAGCAAAATGTCTTCAGGAAATAAGAAAGAACTTTAAAAAGACTTCTTAATTGTATTTTTAGTGAGATTTGAGGTGCTGTTAGGTTGATTTAAAAAGATCAATCTGAATACAATAAAGAGATCTTAGAAAGGAAAGGCAAGATTTTCAAATTTAAGCACCCCATAGAGGCCATACATAGCAGAATGCGTACTTCAAAAACCAACCTGAATAATTAGTAAAGTTACTTGAGAAATTCTCCCAAAACTCAGAAGAAAATATGAGGAGGTACAACAGAAATACTGAGGGAAAAGAAAATGAATTTTAGAGAGATTAGGGAAATATAGGCAAAATAGCATGAGGGCCAGATCCGGGGAGTTCACCTCCATATGATGGAAGTCCCAGAAGAAGGGGACTTTAGAGAGATGAAATTACAATAAAAGAAATATTAAAAGAAAATGTCCTGTCCTTGAGTTGAAAATTGAATAAATATACCTTCAAATAAAAATATGCACTAAGGGTTGGGAGAAAACATTAAAGGAAGTTTAGAACTTGGAAGATTATCCAAGAAAAACCAACATGAAAAGAGGATTGGACTATTGTCTGATTTATCTTCAAATTGTGCTCAAACGTAGTGGAAAATATTTAGCAAATTCCAAGGAAAAATTATTGTGACTCTATAGTTTTTCCTATAAAATAAACTATTAAAATAATAAAAGACTTTGTTACCTCCTATGTGCCTAGTACTGTTCAAAGTACATTTGTTGAATTATTTCAATTAACACAACAACCCCATAAGAGAGGTACTATTATCTTTTTTACAGGTGAGGAAATTGAGGCACAGAGAAGTTAAGTAACTTGCCTAAGGTCACACAGTATCAAAGTAGACAGTATAGAAGAGAGAGAGATGAACTCAGTTCATGCTCTTAACCAACCAGACTTTAATCAAGCATTCTCACGTGAATGTAAAACTGCAACTATGATAACTACCATGAGGGGCGCTATGGAATTCATGGGTTTAGGGATATAGCCTGTCATTCTGCAGATGAAGGGCATATAGCCACCGTTTATTGAATGCCTTTTTTTTTTTCTAAAACAAACAAAAACCCAAAAAACAAAACCAGGTACTAAGTGTCATCCAAAGGGAAAAACTAGAGGGAAGGACCTGGGTAATGATTCTCCTCTTACGTGGAGCACTGAGAAACTCAGACTTGAAAGGGACTATGGTCGGATTCTATGGCTCACGCCTATAATCCCAGGACTTTGGGAGGCGGAGGTGGGCAGATCACCCAAAGTCAGGAGTTCAAGATGGGCCTGGCCAATATAGTGAAACTCTGTCTCTACAAAAATTAGCCCAGCGTGGTGGTGGGTGCCTGTCATCCCAGCTACTCAGGAAGCTGAGGCAGGAGAATCACTTGAATTGCTTAAACCTGGGAGGCGGAAGTTGCAGTGAACTGAGATTGCACCACTGCACTCCAGCCTGGGCAACAGAGTGAGATTCTGTCTCAAAAAAAAAAAAAAAAAAAAAAAAAGAAAGGGACCATGCCTAGGAGTGGGTCATCTTCAACATCCCCAATGCCTGCATTTGGACCATGTTAACGGGGAGCTCACTACCTCCTTAGGACCCCAAATCTTCATTGGATACCTTGGCCCCAAACAGTCCCACCCTTCAAATTTGAGGTTGTTCTTAAAGGTTTAAAATAGAAAATGATCTGGCCAGGAGTGGTGGCTCATGCCTGTAATCCCAGTACTCTGGGAGGCCAAAATGGCAGATCACTTGAGGTCAGGAGTTCAAGAGCAGCCTGGCCAATATGGTGAAACCCTGTCTCTTCTAAAAATACAAAAATTGGCTGGATGTGGTGGTGCGCCCCTGCAGTCCCGACTACTCAGGAGGTTGAGGCAGAAGAATCACTTGAACTTGGGAGGCGGAGGTTGCAGTGAACCGAGATTATCCCACTGCACTCTGGCCTGAACAACAGAGTGAGACTCCCTCTCAAAAACAAACAACAAACAAACAAACAAAAAACAAAGAAAATGATCATAAAGTCTTAACTGGTTTGTTTACATTCAAGAGATAGGGACAATGTGCTTGTCTCCTATTCTGAGCTTTAAATATCTTTCCAAAGGGCAGATCTACTTGTAATGGAAAAAGGAAGGGCTTACAAAGGCAGTGAGTGCAGTTCTCCAAAGACTGGTCTTGCAATCACGCCCCCTGGACAACTGCAGTGTCTTCTCGTGCTGAATGGGTCTTTCCCAGTCCCTAATTCACTTATTATTTATTTATTCATTCAGTAACTCATTCATTTACTGATTTGCTCACACACGCATTCATTCACTCCTCCATTTATTTCTTCATTCATTCATTGATTCCACAGGCATTTGCTGTGCCCCTTCTGGACTACGTGCAGGACAGGGGAACAAGATCTACCTCAGGGAGGTCCTGCTGGGTATATATTCAGACTCCAGATGCTGACTGGGAAAAAGCCTGCAGCTTTTCAAAGCGTGTGGGGTCTGTGATGTGGGGCTGCTCCCAACATCCAACTAGAGGACCAGAACT